AGCGAACAGTAAAAAGAATGGTTCTTACTTTTTCCCCCATTAAGAGAAAGATCATATCTCAAATTAACATTAATGCTAGAACTTAATTTTTTTCCCAAATTGGACTCATAAGGTTTTGTAAGTAACTATACTAACACTGTGCTATTGAATTTGCCTGACTTATGCTTATGCAAAAAAGGAAACAAAATGTAAATGATTAATGTAAGACCATGGTGATTTGCATGCACTCCTATAGTGAAAGGCTTTTGTTCAAAAGCGCCTTAAGATTCAGCAAACAGTGGTCCCGTTCACCTACAGAGCAAAGTCTGTAACACCCCTGGATGGGGCTCACTGCTGCTGTTTTCATCTCTGTATTAGTTGACAAAAAGTATTTGCAAAACATAAAGGAAATAAAATTTCATGATAGAAATAGGATCTATATTTTGCAGAATTATTTTTAGTCATTGAATGTGAATGCCAGTTATTTTACTAAATGAATCTGTAGGGGCCAATGTCATGGTACAATGGGTTAACCTGCCAGCTGTGATGCCAGCATCCCCTGTGAGTGCTGGTTCAAATCCTGGCTTCTCCATTTCCAGTCCAGCTCCCTGATAATGTTCCTGGGAAAGCAGGAGAAGATGGCCCAAGTGCTTGGGCCCCTGCCACCCTCGGGGGAGACCTGGATGGAGTTCAGGCTCCTGGCTCTGGCCAGCATCACAGGCAGCAGCTTCATGGGCTGTGCCACCATGCATGCACCCAAATAAGATAATTTTTAAAATGGTTCAAATGAGAACACTTTAAATATGATAGTACTATAACAGTCAGCCAGCTATAACTGACATAAACATGAAATGAGTCATAATTCAATTAAGATGATTTACTACACATTTACTTCTCTATCCAAATTGTTAGGGGAATCAAACTGTCCTTTGCCAGCTGCATACTGATACAGGAAAAGTAGGTCAGCATGTAACTGTCAAATAATGATATTACAACTTCTTGAATTTAGCTTCGAGAAGAGAAATAATTTGGGAGCTGATGTGGCACACAGGCATCCCATTTCAGAATGCTGACTTGAGTCCTCACTGCTCCATTTCTGATCCAGCTCCCTCCTAATGCACCTGGGAGGCAGTAGAAAATGGCCCAGGTTCTTGGGCCCCTGCTACCCATGTAGAAGACCCAGATGGGGCCTTAGCGGGTAAAGCTGCTGCCTGCAGCGCCGGCATCCTATCTCGGCGCTGGTTTGTGTGCTGGCTGCTCCTCTTCCAGTCCAGCTCTCTGCCATGGCCTGGGAAAGCAGTGGAGGATGCCTCAAGTCCTTAAGCCCCTGCACCCACGTGGGAGACCCAGAAGAAACTCCTGGCTCCTGGCTTCAGATATGCATAGCTCCAGTTCCGGCAAACTGGAGAGTGAACCAGGGGATGGAAGACCTCTTTCTCTCTCTGTCTCTCCTTCTCTCTCTCTCTGTAACTCTGACTTTCAAATAGATAAATAAATTAAAAAAAAAAAAAAAGAAGAAGAAGAAGGAGAAGGAGAAGGAGACCCAGATGGGGTTTCTGACTCCTAGTTTCAGCTTAGCCAAACCCCGGCTGTTGTGGCCACTGGGGGAGTGAAGCAGCAGATGGAAAATCAATCTTGATCTCTCTCTTTGTTGCTCTACCTTTCAAATATGTAAAAAAATTAAAAAGGAAATAATTTGTATTAACAAAGTTTTCTGGGAAACAGCTTACTTAAGTGTTTTAGGTTGTGCAGTTTTTGTTTTGCTTTGTTTGCTTCTAAAGGACAGACACTCAAGTATACAGATGTATAGAATTTCTTATTTTATGTTACATTTTAAAGAGCCATCAATTACAATTTTCAAACATAATACAGCCACATGATTCCCACAGTAAATTTTGATAATCAGGGTCCAACAATCATTAAACAAACCTTAAGGGAAAAAGTTCTGATTCCTGAGGTCTCTTACTGGGATGGAAGGCCTGTGGAAACATTTGGCTGTTCTTTGCTTGGGGAGATGCCAAATGAATCACAGTATAGATGAGTAAGGTGGTCCTGGATGACAGTACTGGCTGAGAGACACTGGCTGAAGGGAGTTTCTCTGAGTTGTACGGTAGTTAGCTCAAACCAGGGGAAAGGCCTAGGGTGAAAACAAAATAAATATTGTTATTTTTTTTATGTCTGTTCACTACATCTGGTTTGGTTATTCAACTCTTCCTCTAGTAAAGTTATCCTCTACTTGGAAAAACAAACTAATTAAAAATCACAGTGAGAGGCCAGTGCTGTGGCATAGCTGGTAAAGCTGCCGCCTGCAGTGCCAGCATCCCATATGGGCGCCGGTTCAAGTCCTGGCTGCTCCACTTCTGATCCAGCTTTCTGCTAGGGCCTGGGAGAGCAGTAGAAGATGGCCCAAGTGTTTGGGCCCCTGCACCCACGTGGGAGACCCAAAGGAAGCTCCTGACTCCTGGCTTCAGATCGGTGCAGCTCCGGCCATTGCAGCCAATGGGGAATGAACCAGCGGATGGAAGACCTCTCTCTCTCTCTGCATCTCCTTCTCTCTCTGTGTAACTCTGACTTTCAAATACATAAATAGGGGCTGGTGCCGTGGCTCACTTGGTTAATCCTCCAGCTGCGGTGCCGGCATCCCATATAGGCACCAGGTTCTAGTCCCAGCTGCTCCTCTTCCAGTCCAGCTCTCTGCTATGGCCCAGGAAGGCAGTGGAGGATGGCCCAAGTGCTTGGACGCCTGCACCCACATGGGAGACCAGGAAGAAGCACCCGGCTCCTGGCTTCATATCGGCATAGTCTGGCCATAGCAGCCATTTGGGGGAGTGAACCAACGGAAGAAAGACCTTTCTCTCTGTCTCTCTCCCTCACTGTCTAACTCTACCTGTCAAATAAATAAATAAATCTTAAAAAAAAATAATAGTCTCTCAATTATCTTTAAAAGGCGTAGTTAAACTAGAAGTTCAGCTGGAAGTGTTCAATTTGTGGACTTAATTGTAGTTATGGTGATTTTCCACACTTAGACATATTTTTTCTTTTTTTTAAGATTTATTTATTTGTTTGAAAGTCAGAGTTAAACAGAGACAGGAGAGGCAGAGAGAGAGAGAGAGAGAGAGAGAGGTCTTTCATCCACTGGTTCACACCCAATTGGCCGCAATGGCTGGAGCTGCACCGATCTGAAGCCAGGAGTCAGGAGCTTCTTCCAGGTCTCCCACGTGGGTGCAGGGATCCAAGCACTTGGGCCATCTTCTGCTGCTTTCCCAGGCCATAGCAGAGAGCTGGATCGGAAGTGGAGCAGCCGGGTCTTGAACTGGTGCCCATATGGGATGCTGGCGCTTCAAGCCAGGGTGTTAACCCACTGTATCACAGCGCTGGCCCCAAGATATATTTTTTCTAAAGGAAATCGTAATTAGAGAATAAATTATAATATTAACATCAGCATCTTCTTTTGTATATATCTCCCTTAAATTTAGAAAGAATATACATAAGAGAATCATGCAAATTAGGCAAGGAAAAGATCTAACTGCTTTTAAGATAGCCTCCTTAGCTATCTTAAAAAAGCTATTGGCTTTCACCAGTCTTATTCAACACAGCACTAGAAGTTCCGGCCGGTGCAATAAGATAAGAAAAGGCATGCAGATTGGAAAGAAAGAAATGAAGCTGTCCATATTTATAGATGATGTAATTACCTACACAGACAATCCCAGGAATTTTTTAAAGATTTTTTTTTTTATTTGAAAGGCAAAGTTACAGAGAGAAGGACTGATAGAGAAAGAGATCTTTCCATCCGCTGGTTCTCTCCCCAAATGACTGCAATGGCCAGGGCTGGGCCAGGCTGAAGTCAGGAGCCTAGAGCTTCTTCCAGGTCTCCCACGTGGGTGCAGGGGCCCAAGCACTTGGCCTATCTTCTGCTGCTTTCCCAAGCTCATTAGCAGGGAGCCGGATGTGAAGCAGAGCAGCTGTGTCTTGAACTGGTGCCCAAGTAAGATGCTGGTGTTGCAGGCTGAGGCTTAATCCACTACGCCACAATGCAGCCCCAAAGGAATCTATTTTTAGAAATATCTCTATAGGGGCCAGCATTGTGACACAGCAGGTTAACGTCCTGACCTGCAGTGCCAGCACCCCATATGGGTGCTGGTTTGAGACCCGGTTGTTTCACTTCCAATCCAGCTCTCTGCTATGGCCTGGGAAAGCAGTAGAAGAAGGCCCAAGTCCTTGGGTCCCTGCACCCATGTGGAAGACTGGGAAGAAGCTCCTGGCTTCTGGCTTCAGATCAGTGCAGCTCCAGCCATTGCAGCCAATTGGGGAGTGAACCAATGGATGGAAGACCTCTCTCTCTCTCTCTCTCTCTCTCTCTGCCTCTCCTCTCTTTGTGTAACACTGACTTTCAAATAAATAAATAAATCTTTAAAAAAAAAACTCCAGAACTAGTAAGTTCAGAAAGTTTGAAGTATACAAAATAAACATACAATAATCAATGGTATTTATACATACTAGCAATGAACAACAATTTAAATTTATAATTTATAATTAATAGAATTTATAATTGGTCGGGGCGCCGGATTCTGTCCCGGTTGCCCCTCTTCCAGGCCAACCCTCTGCTGTGGCCAGGGAGTGCAGTGGAGGATGGCCCAGGTGCTTGGGCCCTGCACCCCATGGGAGACCAGGAAAAGCACCTGGCTCCTGGCTCCTGCCATCGGATCAGCGCGGTGCGCCGGCCGCAGCGCGCCGGCCGCGGTGGCCATTGAAGGGTGAACCAACGGCAAAAAGGAAGACCTTTCTCTCTGTCTCTCTCTCTCACTGTCCACTCTGTCAAAAAAAAAAAAAAGAATTTATAATTAATTAATAGAATTTATAATTAATAGAATGCTTAAAGGCGTAAATATAACAAAACACAAGATTTGTGTCATGGAAATTAAAATGCTGATGATATAAAGAGGACCTGCAGGTGGAGAAAATTACTGTATTCATGGATAGAAAGACTCATGATAATCAAGATGCCATTTCTCCAAAAACAGATATACTGGTAAAACTACGTCACACCAAACTCTGCTGATGAACGTTCACGGCAGCTTTATTGATGGCAGCTGAAAACCAGAACAAGCCAGATGTTCTCCAGCAGGTAAATGGTTAAACGTGATACAGCCGTGCCGTGGACACTACTCAGTCATGAAAACAAGCAAATACATGGTTTTCTGGGTCAGCAGATTGAACTGCTGTTTGGGATGCCTGCATCCTATAGTAGAGTGCCAGTTCGAGTCCTGGCTACTCTGCTCCCAGTGTGCCTGGAAGGCAGCAGGCGATGGTCTGAGCACTTGCGTTCCTGCCACCCACACTGGACACCCAGATGGAGTTCCTGACCCCTGGCTTTAGCCTGGCTCTGCTTTGACTGTCTGCAGGCACTTGGGAATGAACTTCTTTCTCTCTCTTCCCTCTCTCTGCCTCTGCCTTTCAAATAAAAAGAAAATAATTTTTCTTGAAAAAGAACAATGAAGTGAATTTGAGAAACTGTAATCATTATGAAAATATCAATATGCCATGGCCATCTCTTGCTAACAGTAAAAAATGAGAACATTGCTTCTCCAATTTGAATATGCATAAATATCACCTAGAATATCTTGTGAAAATACAGATTCTGATTCCATAGGTCTTGGGTATCAGATTCTGCATTTCTACAGATGATGCCTCTGAATGCCAAGTCGTTTGAAGAGTGAGGCTGTAAGAGGCTTGACTAACACCGGAACTTGTGCCCCAAAATGTAATCATTATTTCTAAGGCCTAGCACACAGCTGAAGAAGTTAGATGAAAATCTCTTAGGTCTTGTTATTTTTATTATAATAATATGATTGCCATTAAATGAGCCATAAATATTCAGGAAGCTAAGAATAATCTCACAAAATAAACCAAAGGAAAGCAGAAAGGAGGTAATTATAAGACACATGAAAATGCTTGCATTTTAAAAAGAATTAACTCAGTAGAATTAAATAAAACCATAAGCTGGTTATTCTCAAAGATCAACAAAATAGACATGCTTCTAGCAAATTTAATCATGAAATTTTTTTAAATGCCTCGGTGGCACCCTGTGTATTTTTTTTTTTTTTTTTTAGATTTCTTTATTTTATTTGAAAGGCAGAGTTACAGAGAGAGAAGGAGAAACAGAGAGAGAAAAGTCTTCCATCCACTGGTTCACTCCCCAAATGGCCACAATGGCCAGAACTAAGCCAGGAGCTTCCTCCGGGTCCCCCATGCAGGTGCAGGGGCCCAAGGACTTGGGCCATCTTCTACTGCTTTCCCAGGCCATAGCAGAGAGCTGAATTGGAAGTGGAGAGGCTGAAACTCAAACCAGTGCCCATAGGGGATGCCAGCACTTCAGGCGGCAGCTCTGCCCACTATGCCGCAGCACCAGCCCCCAACCCTGAAAAAATTTTAAAGCTTAACACAATGCAAGATGACATACAATCTGATGAGGTGCTTTTTTAAAATAAAATATAAAATTATAACTTTATACCAATAAACTTGTAATCCAGATACAAAGGCAATGTGAAATTGACCCAAGAAATTGTAAAGCTGAATATATCATAAACTAGAAAAATTGGAAAAGCAGTCTAATTTCAGCCCTCACCTGCCTCCCTGACAGTTGGATCAAATCAATCTACAGTTACATTCTGTAAGGGAGCTTCCTGGCTGGTAAAGGCATGGAGGTGCTGGGAGAGTGGTGCCTGGGAGAGGGCAAGCAAGCTCCTAGCACCCCTACCCCACTCCTTGTCCTGTGCATTCCTGCCACCCACACTGGACACCCAGATGGAATTCCTGACCCCTGGCTTTAGCCTGGCTCTGCTTTGACTGTCTGCAGGCACTTGGGGAATGAACTTCTCTCTTTGTCTCTCTGCCTCTGCCTTTCAAATAAAAAGAAAATAATTTTTCTTGAAAAAGAACTCTGAAGTGAATTTGAGAAACTGTAATCACTGTGAAAATATTAGTATATGCAGAGTCCCAGCAGGAGGGCCTCACTGGCTGGTCCTAAGCGAAATGACTACACCCCTGCATGAACATCAGAGTACAGATAAAGGAGTTCAGAAGAATCTCACGAGGACACAGAAGAGTCAAGTGCACATGTTCAACTAGTGCTGAGTTTGCAAAAAATTTTGAATTTGCCAGGATTAACTTTCCCACTTTCTTCAAGATCTTGGAACTCAAGAGTGGAAAGACGTCACGGAACAATTCTGTGCAGCCGACAAGCTCAGCCGTGGTGATGGGCAGTGAGGATCAGTGGAGAGAAGAGGCCCTCATGGTGCCACGCCGTAGAGCGAGAACTTGGAACTACTCCAGGCCTCGGATCTTTAGATGACGTGGGCAGGCCCAGGGCACTGCCTCCCTGTGCTGAGCTATATGCCATTTGCCCTGCGAAGTACACAGTAGACACTAAGTGCTGTTAATTAATCTTTAAGAAATCTATAGTTCCTATGAAACTTAAACTGTTCCAGAATATAACGATAAAGACTTCCTAATACTATGAGGTATTGATACCCAAATTTGAGAACTACAAACCAATTTTACTTTTAAATATTGACAGAAATATCTTAAATCAAATGAAGGAAAACAAATTTATAAGTGTATTAAATAGGGTTTATTTTAAGAAAGCAAAGTTGGAGTAAAGCTAGAACTAGTCAATTAGGATTGGTACACTAATAGAAGGAAACTTTGTCTTTATTATGGAAATTTTAAAACAAAAATAGAATAGTAAAACGAACCCTCATGTGCCTGTCACCCAGATTTAACAATGATCTGTTCATAGCTAACTTTTTAAAGGTTTATTTATTTGAAACACGGAGTTACAGATACAGAAGACACACACACACACACGCACACTGAGAGAGAGAGAAAATCTTCTATCTGCTGGTTCACTCCCCAAATCGCCACAATAGCCAGGACTGGGCCAGTCCAAAGCCAGGATCCTAGAACTCCATCTGGGTCTCACATGTGGGTAGCAGAGCCCAGGCACTTGGGGCGTTTGTCCAGGCACATTAGCAGGGAGCTGGACTGGAGGTGGAGTAGTCAGGACTCCAACCAGGACTTAATGCACTGCCCCACAACTCTGGCCCCAGCTAACGCTTGTTGTGTCCATTAATCTATTCCCACCCCTTTACCCCCCTCTACTGGGTAATTCTGAAGCAAATATCAGACACTACATCATTTGATGTGTAACTTTTTGAGTATGTATCTCTAAAACATATACTTTAATTTTTTTCAAATTTATTTTTTATTTATTTGGAAGGCAGAGAAAAAGAGAGCTCCCATGCACTGCCTCACTCCCCAGATGCCTGCAACAGTCTAGCCTGGGCCAGGCCTAAACCGGCAACTGGGAACCCCATCCAGGTCTCCCACATGGGTGGCAAGGACCCAAGCACTTGAGCCATCGCCTGCCATCTCCCAGGCTATACATTAGCAGGGAGCTGGAATCAAGAGTGGAGCTGGGAGTTAAAGCAAAGTGCTCTTACATGGGTTGTGGGCATCCCAAACTATATCTTAACCACTATGCCAAATGCCCACCTAGGACTTTATTTTTATAAAATAAACCAGAATACTAATTCCTTAATATTATTAACTATGCAGCCTAATTAAAAAAAATAGTTGTTTGAATAATGATCCAAAGTCTACACGTGCATTTTGGTTAACATGAATTGTAAGTCTGTTTAAAAAATTTATCCCCCCCCCCCCACTTTGGGGTTTGTTTGTTTAAGGAATTGGGTTGCTTGTCCTATAAAATTTCTCACCTTCTGGATTTTGCAGATTACATCGCATGGTGTCATTTAACACTTTATCACTTGAACTCCCTGTAAAAAGTAGCGAGCTATAAAAGCTTGATCAGGGACTGGTGTTGCAGCATATCAGGTTAAACCACCACTTGCGGCACGAGGCCGGCATCCCATACGGAACTGCCAGTCCTGGCACCTTCACTTCTAATCCAGCTTCCTGCTAATGCATGCTGGGAGGCAGCAGATGACGGTTCAAGTGCTTGGGCCGCCCTGTGGGAGACCCAGATGGAACTGCAGACTCCTGGCTCGGGCCTGGCCAAGCCCTGACTGTTGCAGGGCCCCTGCAGAGTGAACCAGAGGAGGGAAGCTCCCTCCTCCCTGCTGCCTTCTCCTCTCTGTCTCTGTGCTGCTCTGCCTTTCAAGTAAGATGAAAATAAACAGGATTTTATTCTTAAAAAAAAAGAAGATAATGTGAATTTTCCCATGAAATTTTTGAAGCCCCCTAGTAGCAAGTAAAAAAGCAGTATATGCTCACATTTTTAACCCTGTGTATATAGAAATAGATACAGATACATATTAGACTGACTACATATAGGTTTGGAAATGCATAGATAAAAAGACAAAAATATCAAAATACTAAAGGTAAAATCTGTGAAATGGGGTTTGAGCGGCAAAGGTGGGCAAGCACTTTCCCACCAGCTGCCATTTTTACCAAGATACGATTTTTATCGGTTTTAAAGAGGTCAGGAGGAGACGGAAAACAGGTGCTGAGCTGAGAGCGTGGGAGAAACCAGAACAGTGGCAGACGGCTTACCTGTTCCCGGACAAGTTCTTGACGTAGTCTTTGCTGACAACATCCGTTAACTGAAACTTGGGGCAAGAACTTGTGTCTTCCCCGCAGCCTTGGAAGTGCACGGACAGGAAGAGCTCATTCATAAGCAGCATCGCTTTGGAGTGGGCCACGTTTTTCTCCGTGCAGATGTTTAGGGCTGCGTAGAACACTCCCTCCAACCATTTGATATTGAGGCGAATTCCCCCTGCACATCAACAAAGAGGCAAACGCCAGTCAGTGCCACCAAAAAGGAGTTGCAGGAACCTAGGACAAACCCCAGATCCTCAGAGGCAGCCACGTTTTCTCCAAAACAGACTGATAACATGAAGCTTGTGGTGACAAGTGTCGCTCCCCCTCTTCGTGGAGGAACGACACTAAGCCCTGCCTAGGCTTCATATCCGAGTCACGGCACCATTATGTCGCTCCCCCTCTTCGTGGAGGAACGACACTAAGCCCTGCCTAGGCTTCATATCTGAGTCACGGCACCATTATGTCGCTCCCCCTCTTCGTGGAGGAGCAACACAGGACCCTGCGCTGTTCTTTCGTCTGCTCGGCCCTCCCCGGGTTTGCTGCTGGTTCTTCCCGGGTTGGCTACTATCCCTTCCACCTCCGTGGAAGGGCAGTTCCCCCCGGCCGCATTCCCCACTTCCGCAGGGGAGCGGCACACCGCCGGCCGGCTCTCTCGGGGGCTGCACGGGTTCCCTTAGATGTTCCCCATAGATGTTCCCGGTGCATGCCGTCTCTCTCCTCCTTTATAGTCCTCCTCCGCCAATCCTAACTCGGCTGCCCACACGCCGAGTACGCTGCTCTCCTCCAATCAGGAGCAAGTCCTACAGTTTATTAGTTGAACTGGAGGCAGCTGTGCGGAAGCTGTTTACTTCTGTCCCAGCGCCATATTGTGGGAGAGCAGATGCATAGAATAAGTCTTAATTTCAGTAACTTAGTCCAGTCCGGATTGCTCCCCACAACAAGCACTTTCCCTAGGCCGAGAGCCCCGTTTGCTCTTAGCAACACGTGCCATGGGCCAGTGCTGTGGTGCAGCAGGTTAAGCAGCTGCCTGCAATGCCGGCATCCCATCTCGGAGCCGTGGCTCAAGTCCTGCCAATGTGCCCGGGAGGCAGCAGTAGATGGCCCAAATACTTGGACCCCCGCCACCCACATGGGAGACCCAGAATGGCCCAGCCCTTCCCATCACGGCCATTTGGGGAGTGCAGCAACAGATGGAAGATCTTTTTCTGTCTGCAACTTTTTCTCTCCCTTTCTTTCTGCAACTCTGCCTTTAAACTAAATAAATCTTTTTAAAAAACCAGGCACACACACACATACATACATACACACACACATACATACACACACACACATTATGTGTTGGCCATGCCAAAGGACAGTCAGGACTCATGGAGACATGGCTAATGGCAAAAATGCAGAATGGCCCTTGCTAATAAGGAAAAGGAACAAGATTAGAATGGAGAAAAGCTATTCAGTCCCAGACGCTGCATGAAACAAGCTGTCTCCACTCCTCTCTGGTTATTTCTAGTTCACCTTTGAAGGGACCAAACAATGGGGTTTCTCAGCTAGCTCTAATAAAGGCTGTTTTTTGTTGTTGTTGTTAAAAAAAAACATTTCCCGAGCCGGCGCCGTGGCTCAATAGGCTAATCCTCCACCTTGCGGCGCCGGCACACCGGGTTCGAGTCCCGGTTGGGGCGCCGGATTCTGTCCCGGTTGCCCCTCTTCCAGGCCAGCTCTCTGCTATGGCCAGGGAGTGCAGTGGAGGATGGCCCAGGTGCTTGGGCCCTGCACCCCATGGGAGACCAGGAAAAGCACCTGGCTCCTGGCTCCTGCCAGGATCAGCGCGGTGCGCCGGCTGCAGCGGCGGCCATTGGAGGGTGAACCAACGGCAAAAAAGAAAGAACCTTTTCTCTCTCGTCTCTCTCTCACTGTCCACTCTGCCTCTCCCCGGGCGGAAGAAAAAAGAAAAAAAAAGGAGGAAAAAGAAACGCCTTTTCCCTTGCCAAAACAAAATGGAAATAGTTGACATGTATCTGTACAACCAACACACACACACACACGGATTTAATACGATAACAACAGGCCAGAAGGAAGATAATTTTCAAGAGAGCGCCAGAGCTGCAGCGAGCCCTTACCAGCAGCACTGTAGGGGCAGGTAGCCTGAAGAATCACAGGGTCTTGGAGCGCAGCTGTGATTTCCTTTTTGGCTCCCCAGATGTTGACCCCATCTTCGGCATAATGATAATGATACTGAGGCCGCAAGATGCTGGTCTTGTTCAGCAGCAGTTTTAATCTGGAAGTAAAGCCACCAAGACAGGTTGTGCAGTGCCAGGACAGGAATATAAAATCCATGTGTTCAACCCCAGCAACAGACTCCCCTACACAGCACTGCCCAGAACAAACACAGCTCTGAGTCCATGCTGAGGGCACTAATTCGCTGGATTATTCTTGCATCTCCCTGATAAACACTTACTGAACGCCATAGCGGGCTAGGCACTAGGTTAGACACCAGGGGCACAAAAGTAAGATCTGACACCCACTTTCAGTAACTTTTCATATTGTTGACTGGTGGTTTCCCTTCTCATTGAAGGGAAAACTGTTCAGCTTTAGGTAGAGGGAGGCAACGTTCTATTCACAGCAAAGGAAATATCCCACCCACCTGTGCTGTTCCTAGGAAAATGGGGAAGACAAAATGAGAGAGGTTGCCTGGGTCCTTCTGCAGATAAAGCTGCTCCTTTATTACTGGGAATGACCAACTCCAAGAGTTCTCACCCTCACAAGGTACCTGGGTAGTGGGATGGCAGCGACAAAGCTGAACACAATGCAGGCCTTCCTGATGCTGTTCTGAATTTCTATGCAAATGTTAGGCAGCTGAGATGGCAGGCAGCAGAGGAACACCACGTTGGCCCAGCCCACCAGACCAGAGTTGTGGTAAAAGCAGCGGACCCCCTGTTTCTGGAATTCAACTGTAAGGAGGGAAGGAAAACAGAGCAAAGGCATGGGATGGGAATTTCATCTTGGAGAGAAGGTGATCATTGTCTCATCCCCGTAAATCCACCCACGTCTTTTTACCACATGGGTCAGAAAATATTCCCATAGGCCCTCCAGGAGCTGTGCAGCTTCGTGCTACCCTGTCACTAAAGCAGCTGAGCCCACTGCAGCAGGCTGAGGTTATAAAATAATTCATCTTCATCTGACTTGTAGAACAAAGTCTCAAAGATGCCTTCGGCTCTAGTTCACTGACGGTTTACTGTATGCCAGATAACGTACAAAGTGTGTACTTTATTTAAAAAATTTTTTTCATTTACTTATTTGAAAGGCAGAGTGACAGAGAGACATGGAAAGAGGAGAGGCAAGAGGAGGGAGGGAGAGAGATCTTCCATTCACTGGTCTGTTCCCCAGATGGCCACAACAGCCAGGGCTGGGCCAGGCTAAAGCCAGGGACCCACCCAGCCAAAGCCAGGAGACTGGAACTCCTTCCGGGACTTCTGCTTGGGTGGCAGGGGCCCAAGCACTTAAGTCATCCTCTACTGCCTTCCCAGGCACATTAGCAGGGAGCTGGATGGGAAGTGGAGCAGCCGGGAATTGAACCGGTGCTCTGATCCTGGGTGCTAGTGTCTCAAGCAGCAGCACAACGCCAGCCCCTGTACTTTGGGTACATCACATAAGGTAATCCTCACAAGGACCTTATGAGGCAGAGACTAGGACTGTTCTGTGTGATAGGTGAGGGGAGTGAGGTTTCAAGAAGCTAAGAGGCTTGCCCAGAGTTCTCCAGCGCACTGGCTTGAGTCGGTGGGCAGATGAGGAGAGTGGAAGCGTCTGTAGAACGGAAGAGTTTGCTCTTCTGGGAAGAGTTTGAAAGCTGGATTCTGTAAGGTACGCCCTAGTTAACAGGATCTGATAAACCCAGAGGGAGATGTGCTAACTGTGGAGCTGCATAAAAACACTCTGCAGTTAATCACCTGATTGTACTTATGACAACAGGGACATTTTCAAAAGGAAGAATACAAAATGCACACACATATTTTAATAGGATGTTTAAGAGTTATTGTTGGAGAGGTGAATTCTTATCTTAAACAGAAACCTGAAGATGGATAGGATAAAGAGTACACTTAGAAAATGGGCACATCCTTCCCTCTTCATGTGTTGTTCTCATTCTTTTCAAATGTATAGAAGTTAATGGCATTTGCAACATGTGCTTCCTCATAAAATACACAGTGCTATTTTTAAAAAGATTTATTCTTTACTTATTTGAAAGGCAGAGTTACAGAGACAGAGGGAGAGACAGAGAGATAGAGAAATCTTCCATCCACTGGTTTACTCCCCAAATGGCCACAACAATGGGGTTGAAAGGCAGAGTGGGCTGGCTTCTTCCAGGTCTCCCACGTGGGTGCAGGGGCCAGGTACTTGGGCCGTCCTCTGCTGATTTCCCAGGCACATTAGCAGGGAGTAGATCAGAAGTAGAACAGCTGGGTCTTGAACCCATGCCCATGTGGGATGCCAGTGTTGCAGGCGGAAGTTTAAACTGTTACGCCACAACAGCAGCCCCACACAGTGCCATTTTAAAACTGTAATTTGAAGGTGAGCAGTTAAGTTGCTGCTTGGGACACCCACATCCTGTATTTGAGAGCCTGATGTTTGAGGCCTGGCTGGTCTGCTTCTGATCCAGGTTCCTGCTTATACTCATCCCGGGGCAGCAGGTGATGGCTCACGTATCTGGGTCCATGCTCCCCATGAGGGAGACCTGAACTGACTTCCAGATTCCTCACTTGGACCTGCCCCAGCTCTGGCTGTTGCAGGCATGTTGGGAGTGCACCCGCAGGTGAAAGCTCTCTCTCTGTCTCTCTTGCTGCCTTTCAAATAAAATGAAAATAAATAAAAATGTTTAAAATAAATAAAACTATAATTTTAATACTAATAAACGTAATGCTTCCCAAGGAATACACACTACTTCTACAGATAGAATTAAGAGAGAGACCTTTGATGGTAAGACTTTCGTAGTTTCCTTAATATAAAAAGATCATCTAGGGGCCAGTGCTGTGGTGTAGTAGGCTAAGCCTCTGCCTCCTGTGCCAGCAGCCCATGTGGGCACCGGTTCAAGTCCAGGTTGCACCTCTTCGAATCTAGCTCTCTGCCATGGTGTGGGAAAGCAGTAGAAGATGGCCCAAGTCCTTGGGTCCCTGTACCCATGTGGGAGACCTGGAAGAAGCTCCTGGCTCCTGGCTTCAAATCAGCTCAGCTCTGGCCATTGTGGCCACCTGGGGAGTGAGCCAGGAAGACCTTTCTCTGTCTCTCCCTCTCTCTGTAACTCTACCTCTCAAATAAATAAATAAAATCTTAAAAGAGAGAGAGAAAAGATAACCATACTTTCTTTTCTCTCTCCCTCCCCCAATCACCACTCTGTAGCAGCTTTATTTGTAATATCCAAAAACTGGAAACAACTCAAAACAACAGATGAATAAACTGTAGAACATTCAGGCAATGAAATACTACTCAGAAAATTTTAAAAACGGGGTGGTTTGGTGGTACAGCAGGTTAAGCAACTGCCCATGACACCAGCATCCCATGTGAGCACTGGTTTGAGTCTGGCTTCTCCACTTTTGATCCAGCTCTCTGCTAGTGTGCCTGGGAAAACAGCAAAGATGGCTTAAATACGTGGGCCTTTGCCATCCACCTGGGTGACCAGGATTGAATTCCAGGCTCCTGGTTTTGACCTGGCCCAGCCCTGCTGTTGTGGCCATTTGAGAGTAAACCAGCAGATGGAAAACCTCTGTCTCTCCCACTCTCTGTCACTCCGCCTTTCAAGGAAATTAAGAGGGGAAAGAGAAGCAAAATACCTTAAAAAAATAAAAAAGGATATTGACACATGAAACAACTTGAATTCGCAAAATAATTATGCAGAGTGAAAGACAATAAAAGGTATGACTCCATTTTTATAAAATTCTAGAAATTGCAAACTAGTCTGTGGTGACTGAAATCAGATCATTGTTTTTTTGGTGGGGAGATTCAGGGAGTAGGGAAATAGGGGTTACCAAGAGCAAGAGACAAAGGGGGTGACAGATACAATATGTTCATTACTTTGATTGTTGATGGTTTCATAGGTGTACATATGCATCAAAATATCAAATTCTGCAAATTACATGCAATTTATTGTATATTGTATATAAATAATATCTTAATAAAGCTGTACTTATTCTTTGATCTAGTAATTTTAGTTTGAAAATTATGTACAAGGAAGTTCAACTAACTAACTAAGGCAGAATTCTATAACTTATGGTACATCCATGATTTGGAATATTCTACAAAGTAAAAACTAATCTTTTTACTGATGTAAATTTTAAACTGTGAGAAGAAAACGCAGAGAGGACAGTGGCCTGCGGCGCAGTGCACACAGCACTCCAGACATCTGTGGGCCGGACACAGGTGCAGCGAGCACGCCCCGCTGGGGAGAGGCGGGCGCTGCTCTGGGAGTTGCCCGTGTCACGGTCTCCCTGCTGAACAGTGGAGGGCTTAAAATCAGTATCCAGAGGAATGTTAGGTTCCCCGCGATAAGGGAGTATGCCAGTGAGACATCCAGTGACCAAAGCAGGATGCAATCAAGCAGTGTCAACGATGGATCTCATTAGGAAACAAATAGGAAGGAGATGACTCGGGTAAGTGGATTACAAATAGCTATTTTCTTCCTTGATTTTTTAAATAATGTGTATTCTATTATTTTACATTTTGAATTTGAGTGCAATTTTTTAAAGTTTATTTATTTCAAAGGTCGAGGGGCCAGTACTGTGGCACTGCCTCCTATGATGCCAGCATCCCATGTGAAGGCCAGTTTGAGTGGCAGCTGCTCCACCTCCGATCCAGCTCCCTGGAGAATCTCTCTGTGTCTCTCCCTCTCTCTCTGCAACTCTGCATTGCAAATGAATAAATACATTTTTAAAAAATAATAAAAGGCAGGGGCCAGTGCTACAGTGTAATGGGTGAAGCTGCTGTCTTCAACACTGGCATCCTATATGGGTGCCACTTCAAGTCCTGGCTTCTCCACTTCCAATCCAGCTCCCTGCTAATGCACCTGGGAAAGCAGAGGACAATGGCCCAAGTGCTTGGGCTCCTGTACCCACATGGGAGACCCAGATGAAGCTCCTGGCTCCTGGCCTTGGCCTGGCTCAGCCCTAGCCATTGCAGCCATTTGGGGAATGAACTAGCAGATGGAAGATCTCTGTCTTTCTCTCTCTCTCTCCCTCAGCCTCTCTGTAACTCTTTCAAGTAAATAAATCTTTAAATATAATAATAATAATAATAATCTGAGTGACCCAGAGAGAAATATTCCATCTGCTGTTTCACTCTCCAAATGCCTGCAATGGGCCAGTATTGGGCCAGGATGAAGCTAGGAGCCTGGAACGCAAACTAGGTCTCCCACACAGGTAGGAGGGATCCAAGTCCTTGAGCTCTCACCTGCTGTTTCCCAGGGAGCGCATTAGCAGGAAGCTGGATGGGAAGCTGAGGCAGGACTCCATCCCAGGCCCTCTGATATGGGATGAGCCTCCAAAGGAGGGGCTTGATCGGCTGTATTATAACTTTCATACAATACCATGCACAGATCTTAAGTATACAGTCTGATAAGTTTCAACAAATGACTACAGCCATGGAACTCATACTTCTTTCCAGACCAAGAACATTTCCATTTTCCAGACAGTCCCTCAGGGTGTTTTCTCTTCTCTTCTCCCCAGAAGTAATCATTGTTAATACACAAAATTAATACAAAACATTTTCAAAAATTCAATGTTATTTTTAAAAATATAAAGCCAAGTGCAAACATTTGGAATGGTTAGCACTCACCAAACTCTAACTGGTCCAGTAAGATTTTTTTATTTTATTTGACAGAGAGAGTTAGACAGTGAGAGAGAGACAGAGGAAAGGCCTTCCTTCTGCTGGTTCACCCCGCTAATGGCCACCACGGCCGGCGCTGCGCCGATCCGAAGCCAGGAGCCAGGTGCTTCTTCCTGGTCTCCCACGCCGGTGCAGGAGCCCAAGCACTTGGGCCATCCTCCACTGTCCTCCCGGGCCACAGCAGAGAGCTGGACTGGAAGAGGAGCAACCAGGACTAGAACCCAGTGCCCATATGGGATGCCAGCGCTGCAGGTGGAGGATTAACCAAGTGAGCCACAGCGCCGGCCCCTCCACTAAGATTTAATGCTGTATCAGAGACCCAGAAAGATCATTCACCATGAAGAGTGCAGGGAAGACACACAGAAAATATTTAAGTGGAGAAGAAAGTTGTTTTAAGGAATGAGTTAAAAAACCATCATTCTATGGCCCAAGTCCTTGGGGCCCTGCACCCACATGGAAGACCCACAAGAAGCTCCTGGCTCCTGGCTTTGGATTGGCCCAGCTCTGGCTGTTGAGGCTATTTGGGGAGTAAACCAGTGGATGGAAGACCTCTCTCTCTGCCTCTGCCTCTCTGTAACTCTGCCTTTCAACTAAATAAATAAATGTTTTTAAAAATCATTCTAGCTTTTGTCCAGGGTAGCAGGCTGAGAACTCAGCACACTGTACTCCAAGACTCCTCTCTGAAGGAATCCTTTCAGGATGGCTTCATCAGCGCCTACCCCAGCACCACCAAGCCCCTCTCTAACACACACTGCTCCTCACCCAGGGCCTCTGGCCTCCGAGTGGAGATCCGCAGGCTCTCGGCAGGGAGAGGGACGAGCTGCAGCAGTACCCGAGCCAGCTGCTTCCCAAGGTGGCCACCTCCAATGATGCCCACCTTTAACTCTTCGTGTTCATCAGTGGCCACATTAAGTGATCCGATTGGGAGGCCTCGGAAGCTTTGATTCCCATTTAATGATTCTCTGGAGAATGAAAAGACAGGCATAAACAAGAATACACGCACACACTCCGGCTCTTCTCAACTGTCAACCTCTGATGTTTTCTGCTCTATCTTTCTCATGTGGTAGCACCTAAAGCAATTCTGAGATAAGGCATTTCGGTCGTGTGCAGTTATCCAGTCTCACTAGGAATGAAATGTTCCTTCTGAATGAACTTTCCAGAAACTAAAGCGTAAGCCTTATCAAGGGAAAAAATTTGTTTAAAACATTTTTAGATGAGCACATTTTTGTTACAGATATTATACATTTTGCTGCTTTTTACATATTTTTAAGATTGATTTATTTATTTGAAAGGCAGAGTGACAGGGAGAGAGGGAGAGAGAGAGAGAGAAAGCTTCCATTTGCTGGTTTATTCCCCAGGTGCCCACACTGGCCTGGTCTTGGCCAAAGCCAAGAGCCAGGAACTCCATTCAGGTCTTCATGTGGGTGGCAGGGGCCCACTCAGGCCGTCTGCTGCTGCTTTCCCAGGCACATTAGCAGGAAGCCGGATTGGAAGCAGAGCAGCCAGGACTCAGCTGATACAGGATCCCAGCATAACAAGCAGTGGCTTAACCTGCTGTGCTACAAAATGCTGCCTCAATTTGCTGCCTTTTTAACACAAGGTCTGAATATTAATAATTTTCTTGGCTCAAGACCATCATTGTGAGCAGCTACCGTTCTGTACACATCATACTGTAACATATAACACATTGTCAGTCAGTTCCTTAATTTTTTGTTTTGTAAACAATTTTTGCCAATTTTTTATTGTGAAAAACATAGTAACATCAAGTTTACCTGCTTAACCTTTTTAAGGGTACAACTGGATAGTGTCAGCTGTATGCACACTGTTGTGCATACCTCTCACCTTGCAAAACCACAAGTCTACAGTCACTAAGCAGCTCTTCTCTCCCTTCCCTCACATTCTGGCAACTACCATGCTATTGTCTGTCTGGCTACTTTAGATACGTGCCTCATACAAATGGAATCAACGGTATTTTTTCTTTGTGACTGGCTTACTTCACTTAGTATAATGCCCTCAAGCTTAATCCACGTTATAGTACATGACAGGACCTCCTTCCATTTTTTAGGCTGAATAACAGTCCTTTGTATCTATTTACCACAATTTATTTACCCATGTCTGGGCATTTAGGTTACCCCTACCCCTTGGTTATTGTGAATGGTGGGCGTATGAAACTCTTTGAGATGTTGTTTTCAGTTCTTTTGGCTATATACCCAGAAGTGGGATTGCTGTATCTGTCTTTAACTCTTTGAGGAATCTATTCCAAATTTATTCCAAATTCTCCATACTCACCAAAACTTGCTAATTTCTGCTTAAAAAAATAGTGGTCATTCTAACAGATGTGAAGTGATACTTCCCTGATGATTGGTGATGTTGAACATCTTTTCATGTACTTGGCCATTTCTTTTTCTTTTTTTTTTTTTTTACAGGCAGAGTGGACAGTGAGAGACAGAGACAGAGAGAAAGGTCTTCCTTTGCCGTTGGTTCACCCTCCAATGGCCTCCGCGGCCGGCGCACCGCGCTGATCCGATGGCAGGAGCCAGGAGCCAGGTGCTTTTCCTGGTCTCCCATGGGGTGCAGGGCCCAAGCACCTGGGCCATCCTCCACTGCACTCCCTGGCCACAGCAGAGGGTTGGCCTGGAAGAGGGGCAACCGGGACAGAATCCGGCGCCCCGACCGGGACTAGAACCCGGTGTGCCGTCGCCGCTAGGCGGAGGATTAGCCTAGTGAGCCGCGGCGCCGGCCGTACTTGGCCATTTCTATAAATTCTTTAAAGAAAAGTCCATTCACTTCCCAGTTTAAAAACGGCTCCTTGGTGAATTTGTTGCTAAGCTGTAGTTCTCCTTAAATTCTAGATAGGACCCCTTGTCAGATACACAGTTGGCAAACATTTCTTCCACTCCCGTTTGCTGTGCGGAAGCTTTACACTCTGATGTATCCCATTGTTTGTTTTTTGCCTCTGTTGCTTGTGTTTTTGGTATCTTTTCCATGAATCAATGCCAAATCTAATGTCATGAAGCTTTCTCCCTGTATTTTCATCTAGTACTTTTTCATAGTTTGTCTTACATCTTTAATTCATTCTGAGTTTATTTTTGCACATAGGGGTCTAACTTCATTCTTCTGCATGTGTCTATCCAGTTTTCCAACATTACTTGTAAGAAACTATCCTTTCCCCAAAGTATTGTGTACACCTGACATCTTTGTTGAAGATCATTTCACCATATATGTGAAAGTTTCTGAGCTTTCTCTTCTGTTCTACTGGTCTGTATACCAGTACCATGCTGTTTTGATTGCTGTAGCTTTCTAATACATTTTAAAATCAAGAAGTGTGCCCCGCAAAGTGGCATAGCAGGTAAAGCCACCGCCTGCAGTGCCAGTATCCCATTTGGGCGCCAGTTCGAGTCTGGCTGCTTCACTTCTGATCCAGCTCTCTGCTATGGCCTGGGAAAGCAGCAGAAGATGGTCCAAGTCCTTGGGCCTCTATACCCGCGTGGGAGACCCAGAAGAAGCTCCTAGCTCCTGGCTTCAGATCAGCCCAGCTCCGGCCATTGCAGCCATTAGGGAGTGAACCAGTGGATGGAAGACATCTCTCTCTCCCTCTCTCTCTGCCACTACCCGTCTGTGATTCTGCCTTTAAAACAAATAAATGAATTTTTTTTTTTTTGACAGGCAGAGTGGACAGTGAGAGAGAGAGACAGAGAAAGGTCTTCCTTTTGCCGGTGGTTCACCCTCCAATGGCCGCTGCAGCCGGTGCGCTGCGGCCAGCGCACCGCGCTGATCCGATGGCAGGAGCCAGGTACTTCTCCTGGTCTCCCATGGGGTGCAGGGCCCAAGCACTTGGGCCATCCTCCACTGCACTCCCGGGCCACAGCAGAGAGCTGGCCTGGAAGAGGGGCAACCGGGACAGAATCCGGCGCCCCGACCGGGACTAGAACCCGGTGTGCCGGCGCCGCAAGGCAGAGGATTAGCCTAGTGAGCCGCGGCGCTGGCCAATAAATGAATCTTTAAAAAATAAATAATAAATAAATAAATAAAATCACGAAGTGTGAGGTCGGGGTCGGCACTGTGGTGTAGCAGGTTAAGCTGCCACCTGCAATGCCGACATCCCATATGGGGGCCAGTTCAAGTCCTGGCTGCTCCACATCTGATCCAACTCCCTGCTAAAGTGCCTCAGAAAGCAGTGGAGAATGGCCCAAGTCCTTGGGCCCCTGCACCCATGTGGGAGACCCGGAAGAAGCTCCTGGCTACAACCAGGCCCAACCCTGGCCACTGCCATTTGGGGAGTGAACCAGCAGATGGAATGTCTCTCTATATATAACTCTGCTGCTCAAATAAATAAATCTTTTTTTTTTAAAGTGTGAGGTCTCCAGCTTAGTTTATCTTTCTCAAAACTATTTTGGTTATTTTGGGTAATTTGATGTTCCTCTATGAATTTTTCAATGATTTACTAAAAATTTTTTACAGAAAATTGACATTGGAGTTTGATGAGGATTGCACTGAATCTAAGGATCACTTTGGGTAGTGTGGACATTTTAAAACTATTATATCTTCCAACATGAACACAGGATATCTTTCCATTTATTTGTGTCTTTCTTAATTTTTTTGTAACTTTAAAAGGTTTATCTACTTTTTTAAAAAGATTTATTTATTTATTTGAAAGGCAGAGTTACAGAGAGACAGAGGCAGAGACAGAGGTCTTCCATCCAATGGTTCACTCCCCAAATGGCCGCAATGGCTGGAGCTGGGCCGATCTGAAGCCAGGAGCCAGGAGCCAGGTCTTCCACAGGGTTGCAGGGGCCCAAGGACTTGGGCCATCTTCTACTGCTTTCCCAGGCTCTAGCAGAGAGCTAGATGGGAAGTGGAGCAGCCCATATGGGATGCTGGCACTGCAGGAGGCAGTTTAACCCCCTATGCCACAGTGCCAGCCTCAATATTTACTTTTTATTTATTTAAATAGCAGAGTGACAGAAGGGGGTGGGGAGGGAGGGAGGGAAGGAGGGAAAGGGAGAGGGAGAGAAAGAAAGAAAGTTCCATCCACTGGTTGGTTCACTTGCCAAGTGGCTGTTATAGCTAGGTCTATCCCAGGTGGGAGAGGGAGAGGGAAAAGGGAAGGGGGAGGGGGAGGGGGAAGGAAGAAAGTTCCCTCCACTGGTTGGTTCACTTGCCAAATGGCTGCTATAACTAGGTCTACCCCAGGCTGAAGCCAAGAGCCAGGAACTCCATTCTAGCCTCCTACATGGGTAGCAAGGCCCCAAGTACTTGGGCAGTCTTCTGCTGCCTTCCCAGGCACATGAGCTGGAAGCTGGGTCGGAAGCTGAACTGCCAGCACTTGACCTGGCACTCTGACATGGGATGCCAGCATCACAAGTGGTGGCTTAACCCACAGCACTGGCCCCTCCTTAATTTGTTTTAACAATGCTTTGCAGTTTTCCATGTACAAGTCTTTCATCTTAAGTTTATTACTAAGTATTTTATTCTAATTGATCGCTGTTGTAAATGGGATTAATTTCTTTTTTGGATGGCTAATTGTAAGTGTACAGAAATGCAACTGACTTTTGAGTGATTTTGTATCCAGCTACATTGCTGAATTTGTTTACTAGTTTTAACACATTTTTTATGGAATCTTTAAGTTTTTAAAAAATATTTAGTTACATATATGGAAGTTAGAGTTACAGAAAGAGTGAGACAGACAGAGAGAGAGATCTCCCAACTACTGCTTCATTCCTTAGATGGCTGCAACAGCCATCTAAGTTGGACCAGGCCGAAGCCAGGAGCCAGGAGCTTTTACCACACCTGCCACATGGTGACAGGGCCCCAAACACTTGGGCCAACTTTGGCTGCTTTTCCCAAGCCATTTGCAGGGAGCTGGATCAGAATGGAGCAGCCAGGACCTGAATTGGCACCCAAGTAAGATGCTGCCATTACCTGCAGTGGCTTTACCCCGCTATGCCACAATGCCAGCCCC